GGGTGCACCAGGGGACATCTGGATTTGGGGTTGAGCTGCATGAGCTGTCAAAAAGGTACAGGTGGCTGTAATCCAAACACACATACCTATCCCAGCCAAGAAGCAGCACGGAGCAAGTGGAACTGATGGCACACTTGGGCATCACTCCCAAGCTCTGAGGAGGTAACTTGCAAACTTTCTGCTTCAGAAAAGAATTGTTAAGGTTGATTCCTTATTTGCTTTAGGTCCATCTAGCATAAAGGGCCAGAATCTCCTTTTACTCTCACTGGGCAGAACAATGTCAGTGTTCAAGTAACCAAGCAATTCCAGCATTATGCTGGACAACAGAAGAGGACCTGGTTCACTGATGTCCTCTGACATCCCACACACTGCAATTTGGTTTCTCTGCCCCTGGTTTTAGGCATTTTATCTCTCAGCTGCTTCTCATTTATTTTCTAAATATTGTCACGAGATTACAACATGCTGCTGCCAAACTTTGGCAAAGGTAGAGCCAGATTAAAAATTAAAAAAAAAAAAAAAAAATAAAAAAAAAAAAACACCAAACCCTAAAAAGATAACTATTAATAAAGTCTTCAGTGTGCCAGTGGACCAGTGAATCCAAATTCCACCAGTCTCTACAGACTGGATGCTGGTAGTCCCACTCATCCAAACATCTGCCTCCTAACCCCTCCAGGACACAAGGATGGCGTTCTGGCCCCCTGCACCCCTTGCTGCAGGCTGGGTGCCAGTGGACTGAGGAAAGGTACTATTCCTCGCAGACTCACTATGAGGAACAGCCTGAACAGAAAGAAGTCCACATAGCCTTACTGCTCCTCAGCCTCAATACCTGCCAGGACAATTAAAAAATTAATTTGAAAGCCATGTGTTTTGTTTGCAACATCATCTCCTTCCCCTTCACAGATTAGAGCAAGCATCTTCTCCTAGATAAAAGATTGCTAATGACAGCATTGCTATTTTTTATGCCTTTCTTTTCAAAGCCCAGTTTTGAATGTCAGTGTTTTCAGGTCCCTTTAGTCGGGTAATTGCACATAGACTTCTTATAAAGGAAATTCATTTGTTCAGGGTCACTGCATGGTTTTTCATTAAAAACAAATTACCGGTGTTCAGAAAGGACATCTGGGTTTCAAGAGTCCCATTAATGACTATATTCTCAGCATCACTATTCTGGAGAGTCTACCCTTTCCTGTCACCCAGTATGCAGAGCCTGCCAGGAGAGGAGGGGATGGGGTGAACAGCAGCCCTGGGGAGGAGAAAAGGGGTGGCAGAGCAGGGGCTTTAACCCTGGAGTGGTGAAGAAGGAATGGGGAAAGGGGACAGAAACTGAGGGGAAACAGGGGGTGCTGTCCCAGCACTTCTGACACAAAAACTGGAATAAGGATTTAAGTGAGTTATCATGGCTGCTTGCATATTACCTGTGTCCAGCTCAGCTGCAGCATCGTAAGCATGATGGCAAGGGCACACACACACACTGGTGAACACAGCTGTGGTTTGTCCAAACCCCTGTCTCAGCAATGAAATTGCTGCAAGCCCCTCTGCCCCACTGCTGTCAGGACTCAAATGGGACACAGCTTCTGGGATGGGTTGCTTGGAGCAGGCACACATACTGTAGCTCTTGCACCACTCCTCATATTTCCCCTCTGTAGCATTGCTGATGGCCACCATCTGCCCCACACATGGGAGAACAGTGACCTTCAGATACGTCTTGGGAGCAGACCCACGGACACAAGTAGTGATCTGTGAAGAGAGACCTGATCTGGTGCTGGAAAGAAACAGGCTGGTGGTTGTGAAGCTGCAAAGGATCAAGAAAAGACCCCAGGCAACCAGCACTGGTCCCTGTCACTATGCCAGCTCCAACCAGCAGGGCAGCAGAGCCCATGAAGGAGGAGGAACAGCACTGGAGAGAAAGCCCAGCCTTCCAGAGGTGAGGGAGATATGGCAATTGTATGGTCTCTGTGACCAGCCAACAGCTGCTTCAGAAGCTGTGCTTCCATTCAAACACTTCACCTCAGGAAAAGGCCCTGAGGCCCCCACACAGGCCACAGAGTAAAACCCCTGCAAATATTGCATTTCCCAGTGTACACCCAGCTTGACAGCTTCCTGACTCTATCCCTACTCACAGTATCAGGCAGAAGCATGTGAATTTCTGCAGCACATTTCCAGCAGTGCCTCAGTCGAAACACTGAGTCATGGAAGGACCAGTCATTTCAGGATGGAAAGGTTTTCAGGCGGTCTCAATAGCATTCTCAGTGCAGGATCAGCAATAAGGCCAGGGCAGAATACTCAGGGTTTCACCCACCATGGCCTTAAAAACCCTCAAGTATGGAGACTACACAACACCTCAGCAACCTGTTCCACTACTGAGCCCATCTCTTGGGCGTAAAGTTTGCAGACTTTTGTCATAGCCAGTTGCATCTTGCTTGTTTTGAGTTCTGCCAATTATTTATTTGTGTTAATGGGGCTCAAACCAGTACTACTCCCATTATGAGTCCCTAAGTTCCAAGTGAGGGGGGATAACTCCTTCTTTCCAACTCCTGCCCAGAACAATGCTCACCACTCTCACAACCAGTGCAGACAGCAGACTGATGCTTAGCTCTCAGCCTGCCTCATCCCTCCAGGAGCTAAACAGTCTTCAGCCTGTTTTGTAGCAAAGTGCTCCTTTTCCTGGTGCAGGATCACTTGGTTTGTCCTTGCTGGGTTGCATGCTCCTCCCCAGCCTGCCTATGTGCCTCCAGTAGGCTCCTGAACACCTGATAAGATGGGCTCTCTTGTAGTTGTGGATGAAGTTGTGAACCAAGAGAGACCTCTAGCCGTGCCCTGCAGTTCTATGTGTGGTACCAGCACCCACCTGGAGTGTGGCATTAGGCACTACCTCTGAGCTTGACCACTCAGCCAGTTCTTTTCCCACCTACATACCCATCTGTCCCTACCATGGCATTTCATTTGCACCCTGTGACATCAGAGCACTGTGGGTGCTGGCACCTCAGCATAGCTCAGACAGCTCCCCTGCAGTCAATTCTGCAGGGTGACAGACACCAAAAGGCAGGAGAAGCTTGCAGGGCCAGTGGCCTGCAGAGGAAACACATTCATGGAAGCCTCAAACAATGCCAGCTGTCAGTCCCTAAAGCTCCAGACTGAAATCAAACCATGTGTTTGCTTGTTTGGTTCCTTCAGAGAAAAGCATTTGAATAGTTTATTCTCTGCCATAGCAGACAAGCCACATAAAAATGGAAATTCACTGTTGATATGCAAGTCCCTTGTTTTGCAGGAAAGGAAGGAGGAAATGCGAAATTTTGAGCATGTGTTTGAACAAGTCATGGAGACGCAGCAGAAACTGGCTCCTGTGTACCTCCTTGCCTGTGCGAGAGATAAGGAAGGACCTGGGTCTGGCAAGAGGCAAAAGTGCCCCTGTTAATATGAGCAGTGACGGGGGGGGGCTGGAGAAAAGATACGGGCAGAACATGAAGCTGAACCCACACATCTTGCAACTGCAAGGGAGTGTGAAGGTCTTCCATGCCCCATAGGCAAGCTGCAGACCCCAGCAGGTGTGGGAGAAAAACCCAGTGTGGTAAGGGCTGGGTTTACTCACATCAGTAGGGGCAATGGCAGTAGCAACAAGCATGCAACAAAACACTGCTTACGTGTTATCATGTATACATTTCTCCCATGTCTCTAACCACTTAACTCACACAATTGCTTAATTACAAGCAGAAATTCATGGCTACTGATTAAAAATCTTATCAAGGAAGCACATTTCTAGCAAAAGCTCCAAAAACTAGAACAAGGCAGAGGCATGTAGTGAAATTAATTCCTGAGAGCTGGCAGAACAAACACATGCCTGTGCTTGGGCATGACAATTTGGCCATTTTGGAACACGCAGAGGTGTGCCAATGGTAGCAGACTGGATCTGTCACCTGCCTTACTGTCAGCCCCTCAGGGACTGTGGTGCTTACCCTAGCAAGGCTCTAAAACTGGTTCTGCGAAGGACAGGAGTCAAAGAAGGATTGAGAAGGCATTTTGGATGCTAGTTAGCAAATTCTCACTTAAATGAGACAGAGAACCTACAGGAATTGCAGCTGACCTTCACACTAGCTGGAGCAGAAGGTTGTTATTAAAGGAACCAGTGACAGGAACAGTGCAGTTATTCAATATAATGGGTCACACAAGCCTATATGTAGTTAAAAATAAAATCTATTACCTGGGAAAATCAGCTCAGATGACTCTACATCACTGAACCTACACTGCACCTCCTCTGGCTGAGCACCATTAAGCCCCACATCCTGCAGCTCTGCCAACCCACCCTAGCAGCTGCTCCCAAAGAATTGGTAACGCCCCAGAAAAGACAGGAGTGCTGTGGCCCCACCACTCCTTGCAGATCTGCAGCCAGCAGCGTTGAAGGCTGGCATCAGTGATGTGACACACCTGCAGAACCTGCTCTGCCCACCCCTGGCACCTGCACAACTTCTGCTTCTGCTGCCAAACAGGCAAGCAGTAGCCACCAGCTGGCTCATGCCACCTGGCATTTCTGACTGTGAGGCTCCAAAATGGGAAGGAAATTACAGAAACAGAGTGTCCTAGGAACAGCCTGGTGTCCCCATGAGTCAGGTTTTCATGGAGGAAGTCTGAGGTCAGGACATGTCCAGCCCCCAGGGCCAACGGCCTCAGTACTGGGGCAGCACAGAGGGACAGTGCTGGGAGAAACCAGGTGAGTTAGAGCAAAGCCTGAGTCAGGTGAGTAGAGCCTGGCACAGCTCAATATGGAGCAATCGCCAGGCTCCACAGAAGGGAGGCTGGGAGCTCCTTCAGCATTTCAGTGCCAACACTTTGCCTTGGCACTCTGCAGGTGAGCCTGGTGCTACTTCACTCAGGATCACACCACACCTGCCCTTCAGCACTGTGGCTTCTACTTCAGCACAAAACATTTACAGCATGCAACATTTCTCTCCTGAAATACTATTTGTTTTCCTTTTATCTTTTCTTTCTCCTCTGCTCTGAAGACTCACCAGGCACCATTCCTGTCAGTGCTGGAGCGGAGTAGCTGCCCTGTCCAGCAGGAGGGACGTGTGGAGGGTATCCTGGGAGGGTTGTACTTGCCAGCTCGCGACCTGAGGAATCAAACCAACAAATCACCACGTGAGCATTGCGACAAGCAGACATGGTTTTACATCTCCCCAAGCACCCAGAACACAGCCATGCATTTGTCATCACTGCTCTGCGAGGACCAGCATGGGATTTCCAACCTGGCAGGGAGGGCAGACACAGTTTTGTTTTCTCTATAAGCTGCCACAAAGCTCCAGTGAAGTGCAAGACTGTAAGAAGAAGAGCAGAGCTCTGCAGGGAGAGGAACGCACCCGCCTGAACTCCAGCTGCTCACCCCTACTCCCAGATTCCTCCAAAGCTTAGATTTGTAAAGTCAACAGCAGTGAAATGGGAAATAACACAGATCTTAATGACATTTTGCCAGAAAACTCCCTAGAAAATCACATGCAAAGGCTGAGACTGTTTGAGATCTATATACAATGCAGGGCATTTGTTTTATCTCTAATTAAAGAAAAAAAAAAAAACAACCAAGGAACAAACACACAAGGCATTGAGACATGAAGGTGGTTGAAAACATAGTTTGTCACAGTGCCACATGAAGAGTTAGATTTGCAGACACAGCCTGATGCACTGGTCTTTCCTTAGCCACAGAAACATGGGTTTTAGTCAAGTAGCCACAGGACTTCCATGAAAATAATCCCACAAAAGCAGGAAGTAGGATGTCTTACATCTCTCTCTGCCCCTGGATCAGGGGTCTGGGCTACCCCCTCTTCCTTCACCCTCCCCCAGACGCATCTCCTGTCACCTTCGAGGACATGTTTCCGCTGGCAGTGCAAAGACAGGATGTCAGATATCATGACTCACAAAGAGCCGCAGAAGTGTTTCCTCAGTCATGCCTGGACTCTGCTCCCATGTGGAGGTTCTGGAACAGTCACCATCCCTTCAGGCCGCCACAGTGAGATTTTGGGTAAACCACTGTCAGCTGTGGCCACAAGAGACCCTCCAGAAGAAAAGGATGCTCCTGTGATCTCATCAGGCAGGATCCATCCCTCACCCCAGAGGAAATCCTGGAGCCCACTCATGGTCTTCTGGGCTCCAATGGCATCCTTGGGCAGAACACTTAGCAAAGGGGAAGCTGCTTACAAGACACACACAGGTGCCTGGTAGCAGTGACCCTGCAACACCATGGCTTGGTCAGCAGCTGGACGTAGGCTGTGCAATCCACTCCCAGTGTGACACACTACCTCAGGCACCACTTTAGTTCATGCACCCACCCCAGACCCACCCCCCTGGCTCTGCCACCAACTCTGCCAGCTGTGAAGTGGCTTTTCCAAGGCCAGGGGAAAATGAGGGGTCCATCAGACCCAAAGCACAGCTCAGAGGCAGTGCCACTGCATAAGAGCTTAGCTCTGAAAAGGTGAGGGTACACCTCAGTTAAGAGGAAGATACTCCAGACTGCATGAAGCACCTGGCCCTTCTGCTCTTCCAACCTCTACAGGACAGGGGCCACTTTGGCACCAGTCAGCTCCAAGATCCTGTTGGCCTAAAACAGCTCATTAGCAAAAATCAGGTTCCTTCCCTAAAAGGTAGCAGGTTGGATCAGCAAAAGTTATGTGACTTTGTTGATTTTAGCACTACTGACAAGAAAAAAACCTCACAGGTTGTTTTTCATATTGTGTTCTGTAGGCAATTGTTTTTAAGACAGTGAATTTTTTTCCAGGTCTCTAGAACTTGTAGAGATTGAAATGGAACATTTTTACAAAAGCCGAAACAATTATTTTTTAAGTGTTTTTTGGGGTTTTTTTTGGTGAAGATTTTGAGCCTCAATTTCATTTTGATCTAAAAATAAAACTTTAAAATCTTCCTTTATTTGATATCTTTAAAGAAATGAGACTTCATCTGATGAGACAAGAGACAGGTACACAAGTAATTGCAAATTGTGGCTCACAATCTCTGGGTCACGGCCACAAAGGCTGCCTCCCCCTACCCTCAGATGAAGGGGTACATGCCAAAACTCTAGTATTGCTGCAGTGATCTCTTAGCACATGCCCCACTTTCCTCCGCACTCAGTATCTGCAAATCAGGATGCAAGCTGTTCCTCTCAGGTCCTTCCTACAGAATATTTATGGTGCATTCACATCCTAAAAGAATTTAAGGTTCAAAACAATTTATTAATCTGTTCTCCAGTGCTAGGGAGAAGTCACATCCCTTACGGAAGGGCATAATGAATTCTAATTATTCAATACAGGCAGAAAATGGTTATTTTAGATTAACATGTTCTCCCCTCATCACTGCCCTGCTTCCTTCTCTCCCACACAAAATTAAATGCTTTATGTCACCTCTACAGTCTGGAGAATACAAAAGTACCTGCAGTCTACATAAAGTCAGTCTCAGAAGCTAAGTTCACTGCCAGCGCTAGCAGGGACTCAGCTAACGGCTGTCCCTAATGCAGATGAACATTTCCCAGGCTGACTGCTGCCATCTAGGAGCCCTCCGGAGACCCAGGAGGGAAATCAGGACTCCTCTCTTCTTGGTTGAGTGGTGTCACCACAGAATGGCACCACACGCCAGGTCCCAAAGGTGCCTTGACCTGTGGGCAAGCTCCCCCTCCCAAACTGCCCCGCACCGACTACACCCCATGCCTCATTTTCTACAGCTGTCGTAAAAACCTTGACATTTACTTCAGTATTTTGAAATACTACAAGTATTTGAAATACTACACTTTCTTCAAAGCCATTGCCACACCCAAAATTACTAGAATCCCTGTCAAGGGCACTGAGCAACATAACCATCACAAACAATAGTATAACAAGTAGGACTTCTGCTTCTCAGTCAATAAAGAAAATATCACCTATGATCTATTCCACAGGTTTGGGCTGGTTTCCGTTACATCCCATTTCCAAATGAAATGTTCTGTCATGTATCAACAAATCTTCCTTGTAGGGTCCCCACAGCCAGGCCTCAGGCATGGCCTGAGGGGAGGCTGAGGGGGCTGGCCAAAGGTGACTGAGGGCATAGCTACAAGTGCTGCAATCCAGCCTCATCCTACCAATTCCATCCAATTTGCTTTCACCAAAAATGAAAGACTGGAGCATCCCATTCTCTATGACATTTTCTCCCAGTGCTGGCAAGCTTCAACTGCACTATAACAATTAATTTAAGAGAAAAACACTAATCCACCTAGTACAAAGAGAGGCTCCAGGCTGCTCCAGGCTGTTCTGCCTTACTCATACAGGCAAAGCACTCAATAGAAAATGAACATCTACACTTTAGCAGTGGGCCACACAGACATAGGAACCTAGTTCTCTTCAAGACATATTTTTTTTCCTGAAGGTCTTAGTCCTGTGCTTTTTGAAGGTTATTTTAGATACCTAAAGGTAAAGATATGGCAGAAGCAGCTGTGGGCAGTGCTGCCTCCTTGCCTTGCTGGGCTGGTATTGAGCAGGACAGAGTAGCCCAGCTGCCAGCTCCAGCCTATAGAGAAGCTCAACTACAGCAGAGCCTAGCAGGATTTTCCAAGGTAACCAACAATATTTTTCCAACAACCTCTGCCAACAATTTTAAGCTCCAAGTCACCAAAATACCTTTCTGAGTCTTTCCTCCAGTGGCCTCCTCAGGAGAGGCTGGTAGCCCCAGCAGCATCGGTACCTTCAGTGATATCTGCTGACCTGAAACTGGCACGCCTCCATGACAGAAGGAGCACACAACAGCTTTAGTGCCCATTCAGCCTGGACCCTGCCATCTCCTTCATCGCATCACTTCCTCCAAACTGCTTCACCAGGCTCCTTCAGGTACCTGGTGAGCACCTCCAAGGCAATGCTGACCCAACACTCATCTGATTTCCAAAGAGAAAATGTCTTAGGGGGAGCACCAGTGTTGTCATTGTGGAGAGTGGAGTAAACACCTCTGCTATGGACACCCTTGCACAAGTCAAAGCTCTGCACACAGAAGATAGTCAACAAATGTCCATCCTTCCATTTTCACTAGGAACTGGCAACACTTACAGTGAAAACAAATTATCATTTTGCAAAGAAAGTGTAAATAAGTAGTTTTCTTCCATGAAAGAAATTTTTCCACCAGCTACAGGAGAGCTTAACAGCAGCCCCTGCACAGATGAAGCAAGCAGTGCCTGGACATCAGCAAATGCCCCTGCTGCAGGACAAAAGCGCTGGGGCAGAGAGCAGCCTGCAGCAGCAAAGGACTCTTCTCTCTCCAAACCACAGTGAAAAAAAAGGAGGGAGCAGTTCAGAAGCATTCCTCAATCCATCTATCTTCTTAAAAAAAAAACCCAAAAGCCAAAAAGAGCATTTCCAAGTGTGCCTTTGTACACTACTGTGTGTAAACGTGAATCCAATTAACTTCAAATTTAACTACTAATGAAATTATCTCATTTTGCTATCAGCTCAGCTCTCATCCATGGCAGTAATTAACCACTGGGGGTTGTCACTCCCAGACACATGACACAAGGACTCCCCCAAGCTCAGGTGCTTCAAACCCGTGCAGAATTCATTACCCTGACAGTGTGAAAACCCTTCACTTTCAATACCATAGGGCACCAATGCATTTTTTTCCTTTATCTAACAGATTGTCAGTAACAGTATGAAAGAAATGAGCCCACTAGACACGTAATTAATTACAGTAAAGGATACATCAGAAAATGTACGGGGTTCAGGTGGTGGAAGGGGGCTCACAGAGCCCCTTTGCCTCTGTCTCACAACCACCAGCAGGGCTGGTGATTTTCCTCTCCATGATGCACCATGGTCTGCACTGAGGGAAGCGGGGCCTTTGCCGCCGGCCCCATGCTCACAGCAGCTGTGTGATTGCCACTGGCTCAGGAGCATGGTCAAGAATGAGGCAGTTAATGGGGTAATGACACCTTTTCAGAGTCAGGGTTCAATACCAAGAGGTGAGCAATACTGAGAAAGTCAGTCTGGCAGTGTCAGTGAGTCCTCCCACTCTCCTTGCAGGTATCATTACAAGACACGCGACCATCCGAAATAGCTACCCAAAGCAGCGCACACCCCTCTCTGAAATTACAGAAGGCACGACCCAGCACCAGACTGCT